TGTAACCTCTACTCTCTCTTGTGGCGGTGCAGGAGGAAGCCTGCACTGCAACCCTAACCAAGGGAGAAGTTTTCCTTGCCAGTGAATTGAGCAAATAGGATGGGAAATTGCTCCTGGGTCCTATCTGCATGTTTGATTCTAGGCTGCAGCCAGAGCTGATGGAGATCTTTTTTCCCCAAGAAATTAAGGACTTTTGTTGTCTGTGCTGATGTTTTTTCAAGTTTCTCCATGGGTTTACAAAATGAAAACATCTGGGAATTTCTTGGCAATGAAAACTTTTCAGATCATGGAAAATCATTGAAACAATCATGTTCTTGAAAATGTTTATTGAGTGGAAAAGCTGTTTTTTACTTGTAAACATTGGTGCAATTTTCTTCTCAGTCTAGCAGATCTAGTCACACTTGAGCCTTATCTCCTTTCTGATATGAAACACTGTTTCATTTCTGTTTATTTTGCCTCCTTTTTCCCAACTGTGCCTCTCCCTCTTCCATTTACAGGGATGGTGCTCTGGTTGAAGGGTCAGCACATGGTTAAAGGGTGAGTGTGTGATCAAAGGGTCAGTGTTACTTAGCTCAGCCCCTGCAGAAGGCTCACAGCATCGTTTAAATATCCTGGTAACCAGTGGGATTTTATGGTGCTCTGGTGTCAGGAGGAAACCGACTAATGGATTTCCCATTTACTTCTGACTCTAGGAAGTAGAAGGCTGGAGCTGGAAAGGGGAGTAGTGCACTGAAGTCTGGGAAACTTCCAGGCACTGCCCAAACTTCTTGTGCAGGCAGTGATGGGTCGCTCTGCTCCCGTGTCCATCTGCAGAGGGACACTGTCATACTCACTGCTGATCCACCTCGCTGCCCTGTCCCCTGTATTGTCACATAAAGGTCCCAGGGATTCTCAGCTGAAATATCATAGTTCAATGACAGTATTCCTAGGATATGTGTGTCTGCTTTATTCATATCTTGTTAGTTAGAAGGCACTAGCTAAAGAAATTGCTATTTGCCCCAGTCAGCCACTGAATGCAGTTTATTTAACTTACAAAATGCAAATATCCTGGTGGTCAGAGGGTTAAGAGGAAGAATCGACTAAGTACTTGTAAATTGATGTAGTGCCCTGAGGGTACCTCTGCTGGTAATAAAGTGCATCTCATGAACAGATCTGACTCTGTGCTATAGCCCAACAAAGCGAAGTGGAGTGAATCTGTCCCAGATTAACTGTAAATGAGATTGACACTCTCAACACAAATTGACATCCATCAGGACTACAATCACATTAATTACAAAGCCTTGGAAAACAATCAAGGAGGGCTTTCTCTTCTCCGGGAGAAATTAATTGAAGGGATCTGCCAACAATGGAAAAATCATATGTACAAGAAGAAAAAGCCATTTAAATTCATTTATTTGCTCACCTTTCTCATGATGGAAACCAGTAATATTAGCAATAGCTGCTAAGTGTGAATTAATCTGGGTTCTGTGTTCTTCCTCTGCCACTCTCCTTGCCCTGGCCTTTGAGGTGGAGAAGTCCATCTCATCCATGGATGTGTCCACATCCAGACAAGCCACAGGTGGCAAGGAATCGCCACTCTAAGACTGGCAGTGGGAGATAAACAGGGCTGTGAGAATTTAAAGTGCATGGACCGGGAAAGGCTGGGCTTCCCAGGGAGCCTGAGGACACCCACGTGTGGTATGAGCATCCTTACAGCTGAGATTAGGGTGCCATGAATGCTTCCCACCCCTGCCTCACCCTAGAGCACACAGACGCCCTCTGTGCTGTAGGAACATGCCCGTGCTGTCCCCAAACTGACACCTCTGCTCTCTTGCCAAATGGCTCCAACCCCATACAGGCTCAGCCAGGGACCAAAGAGCCAAGAGATACAGAGTGGCCAAGCCTCCTTCACTGATGTTTTGGAGGAACCAAAATGTGCTTATTTTCTTCGCTAGAGGGAAATGGATTTAGCATCCAAGATGTCAGGTCCTCCTTTATGACTTTGTCCCATTTGTGCTTGTGCATTGGAGCATCTCACCCTCAGCAGGCACAGCAGATATGCAGATGAGGTGGTGATGCCTGGGCAGCACACTGGATCAGGGGCTGAATGAAATTGGGATTAAAAAAAAAAAAAAGAAAAAAATCCTGATCTGAACTTTGTGACTGCAATCTGTCACAGCTCTTTCTTTCTTCTGATGGGCCATGGGCCAGGGTGGGTGGTAGGTGTTCTCTGAGGCAGGATGACTTCTTTTGAACTTTAAATCAAAGCCACCATGCCAACAGGTAGAGGGGTGAAGGTGCTGCTTCATGCCTTATCCTCCAGCTCTGCTACTTTGCATTTCATATGTAGGGGCATGGTTTATAATCTAATTCCAAAAAACAAAATCTTGGCATTTAGTTTTTATGCTCTGTTAAGCAACTGTTTGGATTTTTATGATTCAACTAGTATTTGTGGGGGGTTTTTGTTGTGCACAAACATCCAATAGTAACATTAAATAAAAAGTGGAGTCTCTTTATTGATTTGCTTTTAGTTAAAAACAAACATGTCATATATAATTAAGATGTACACTGCTTGTAGATAGCAGAGAGCACATTTATAAAGCTATCGAAAGAAATAACGAAAGTGAATATATCACAGCCACCTTTCCAAATCATTCAAATAGGGATGTTTACACCCATAAAAGGTTGATAGTCCTTCTGGCAAACTTAATACAATCATTTGGTTTGTACTTTAAATGCCTGGAATATTTTAACCCTGGAGAAAAATGAATCTCAGTGGGATTGCTGAGAAATTAAGAAAAGTGTGTCTAATGGGCTTGCTTCATACAGAGAGGTGAAATAACACCAGGAGAGTCAGCTGATCATTTGATATCTTTACATTAAAAAAACACAAGGCAAACCCCGAGGCATGCCATCGTTATGCTGTGTGACAGGGATTGCTTTCAAACAAGTCGTGTTTTCAACATTAGCTGCATCATGGTTTTATAAATTGCCATTTAAAATGTAAACCAGTGTGCATTCGGGAAGGAAGCCTCCTGAGACCCCCTGAGCCGGAGTGCGGTGGCCTCAAGGCCGTGGGTCAGGGCTCATCTGCTCAGTGGGGCTTTCCTTGATTGAGGGCGACAGCTCGGTGGGTAGGAGGCAGTGGTGGAAGGGCTTGGGGAGGAGTGGGTTGCTATCCACTAGCTAATTGCTGGAAGAGATATGCAGGAGTTGTTTGTTTTCTGATAATAGGTCAAGACATAGTCAGAATGGTCTTGATAGCTTGCTTTTGGGTTTCATGATGAGCTATCTGGGTGCTCAGTTTTACTGAAGGCTCAGATATTTGGTAAAAAATGTCAAAAAACAATTGAAACACTGAGCCCCCAAAGAAAGGAAATAAGGCTTTGAATTACTGCCTGACTCTGATGTGCCATGATGAACAACGCATGCAATTTTAGTCCCAGTGCTATTACACACAAATCACACTGGGAATGCTCCCTCAGCTATTATTGCCAGCAGAGGGATGTTTTCACATCAAGACGTTTAACTCAAAGCATTTGCTTTGCTGGAAAAATCTTGGAGAGCAGGCTCTGGGAGTTTTCCCTTCAGCGTAAAGCAGCAGAGCTATATCCCAGGCTGGAAGCTTTCAGCTTTGGTCTTTGCTGGCTGTGCCAAGGTCAGGCTCTGCTCGCCTCTCAGGAGCTGGCTGTATCACAGCCAGAAACGCATGGTGTCAGCTGGGATTTTCACTGACAATATTGCTCTCAGTTTCAATGTGCATCCTCCGGCATGAAAAGCATTCCAGGAAGGAGGTGGCTGTATCCCCAGAGATGATAACCGATCTTATTTGAAAAACATTGGTTATTCTCTGGAAAACAGAGCCGAAATTAAGACATCATGCAATTAGGACTGTTGTCCCTTCAAATGATTATTTTCCACTAAAAGATGTTGTTATTATTGGTGGAGAGGTGGCTGCAAGAGCAGTCCATTTGACAATTGTGTGTGAGAGCAGGAGAAAGAATCACCTGTTTATTTGCTATATAAATCAAATTAATTTAGTTAAATTTACAAACACAGGAAGAAAAGCAATAAGGTCTGTCCTGTGGCTGTGCCCCAAAACAGGCAACACTCAGTATTGAAACTGCTCTCCTCAGGGGAACCAAGAATGTGATATGGCTGCAAATATTCATTTGGTTGTTGTCATTTCCAGTGCTATGTATTTTAAATTTACTTCAAGCACTGTAGAAAACCTATACTGCTGAGAAACCACCTGCCCAGAGGGACTCTGTGGGGTGACATGCCCACCAGCATGAAGGGAAGTTTTGCTGTCTTGCTCCAAGAAAAGAGTGAATTAAGGGTTTATAACTCTAGATTTACCTCCTTCTACCACACAAGGCAGGTGGATATTTATAGGAACATCTTCTGACCCCCTAAATCTTGCCTTCTGCCCCCCTCTACTGCTCTACCAACATCCTCTGCCCTGTCCATGCCTCCAGCTGAAGCACTGCACAGCATCACTTCCACCTGTGATGCAAAGAGAAAGTAAAAAGAGGTCATACTTGGACAACACTCCCCAGTATTTCTTGCCTTGGTATTTGCCGTGTTAGCCAAGGCAAGATGGTCTGTGATGTGGATTCTGGATACCACAGACTGTCTCTCTGGCTCGCAAGACACTAGTCCAGGTGCAAAGAAACAGTCACTGCAGAATGTAGCCCAAAGGGAGCTGAGTGGCTTTCACCACGCTAGACAGATGGCAATGGCAGGCATTGGTCTGCTTCATCTCTGCTGACATCAGCATAATTACAAGAGCATATTGAGCTGAAGGACAGCCCAAAAATTCATTTCAGGGAGGACTGAAACAGAGGAGAGCCACCTCTGTTTTTCCCTCCTTAGATTATCTTTGGGGTAAAATAAATAGTCTAAGTAAAATTCTGCCATCAGATACCTGTCTATAAATGCCACTGATGTCATGGGAGCACCATGTGGGAACATGGGAAGAGAATCTGGTCCTCCAGGTGAGGCCCTTCTTGCTGAGCAACCTTTTTTGTGTGCACTTTCTGGGCAGATGGGTCCTTGCACCATTGCTGACCAAGGTGGGCTCAACCTTAGCTATCTGTGGACTGAAAAAATGCCGCCGACTGCCAGGATGCCTTTGGTACATCTGCAGATGGGAAAGGACACATTCCAAGCTGTTACTGGGTGCAGTTCATGTGGGATGGGTGCCACTGGTGATACACTGGGACATGGTAATCTTCCTAACAGCACTTGGCACTGAACACTGCCTCTCATTCCACATCAGTCTGAATCTCTGTCCCATTAGCTAATTGAACTTTGCAGAAAGGCCTCAGAAACACTGGCATTGGCAGGCACATTTTTCAAATTATTAAATACAGATTTGGAAAGACTACATGTCCCACTTGGCCTGTGGTCATCAGTGGGATCTGCAAGCCTTTAGATGGCAGGAGCTTGTGAGACCTTCAGACAGTGATGGTGGACCCCGGTTTCACCAGGGACCAGGACCGCACAGAAAAATATTGCTGTAATCTGTCCCAGGGACTCTCATGAAAAGGGGTTGGAAATTTAGAAAAGGGGTCTGAAATTAAAACACTTGTTCAACCATTCCCAGCCTGAATAATTTATCATTCTTGTGACCCAGAAGAGGAGAGACTTCATTCTGTCTTGCGGGGTTATTTGGATACAGCCCTTCGCCTCTGCTTTGTCCAGACCCTCCTCCTTGGTGGGGAAGTGAGGAGCAGCAGTACCTGGTTCATCAGGGCTCCTTTGCACTCCCAAAAGCTTCTCACACTTTGACATGAGCACAGCAAGTCTGTCTCATTCCTACTACATGTCTGTCCTTTGCACGTCCCTGTGCACATGTCTCTGTGTTTGTTTTAAAGCAGTTGGATTGAAAAAAAACCCCACTGGGACTGTGGCAGCTCCTAGGGAGGCCCCCAGACTCCTGATTATAAACCAGTGTGTATAACTTAGAGCACACTAAGGAGATAAAAGGGCGTCAACTGCACTGCCGCCAGCCTGCGTTGCTGGCTGCCACTTCCCTTGGCTGAGCATTCCCTCTGGGAGCGAAGAGAGGGGCCAGAGACAGCCTCTCAGGCAGGCTTCCCAGCAAATGAAAAGCTCCCCATCCCTTAAAACCTACTCAGAATTAGAGGCTGCCTCTGAACAAGCCACTGCCTGTGCTTACAGCAGGAAAAGGAGCCTCCTCCATCCATTTCTTCTGGCTGCTGGTGGTTTTTCTCTCCAACACAAGGCAACTGAGGCAGATACGGTCCATCCACCCAGGTGATATGGCCTGGGGAATCAGGAATCTCTGGTGGACACTGTTAGGCTGGCAATTGAAAGCAATAGGTCCTTATGGTAATTTAGGCACCAGACAACCACTATAAATAGGAAATGATGGCAGTTATTTTATCTAGTAACAGTATGAAAATGTAAGTGTCTTTATTGAGCTGCTGGCTTGCTAGTGAGAGCTAAAGGAGATGCTCTCTCGGGTATAACATTTGCAGAGAAGTGGCATGAGATATTGCCATAAACTCTCCCGTTAATAAGCGAGCAGAGGAAAGCAGCGCATACCTAATGCAGCCGTGTGAAGGGACAAAATTAAGAAGGTGGAGGCAGAAACCTTTTTCTCTTGGCAGCAGATGTACCCCAAGGAGAAATGAAGAATTCCCCTCCTGACCCAGCAACTAGAAAACTCATGTACTGCTAATATCAGTGTAGGAAGGATGGCTTTGAAAGGAATAAAAGAAAAACACTTCTTACCACATTAGTGTCCTTCAATACCAGAGGGAAATGTAAGTTTCTGCCAAAGGGAGATTAACAGGAAAGCCCAGCTCAGCAGCTGTGCAGTGATGATACTTTGCAGGTGGCCAGAGGGTGTAGAAATGACTTTTGCTCTGTGACAGATGGGGGAGACGTGGCCCAAGCATGCGAACAGCAGCAGCATGCATCCCCAGTTATACCAGTCATGGTGTTGGATGTGCAGTGTTGCAAAGTAGCTATGGGGCTGATGACCACACACGGTTGAAAGTGAGCTGCCCAGAGGGAGGAGGAAGGCAGCACTCAGGAAACGCTGGGAAGAACCTCTGAATTGCAAAAATTGGTTCAGCAAATTCTATTTTCTCCATAGTTTCATAAGATTGTCTGTGGCATTTGTCACTGATATCTTAACTGCTTCATAGACTGCTTTTGATAGTTCTTGTCCAATGAAAGCTGTCCTTTGGAGAAAACAAAAACTGTTGAGACATTTAAGATCAGTTTCTGCTGATGTGTACAATTCCAGTGCATGTGTACAATTCCAGAGCAGCTATGGCTTATATTGCTGCATGCAGTCAAAATAGATTTCTGAAAACATATGTGGCAAAATAATTCACCACAGATAAAGTATTTTGGTAAAGCCAACAACTTTTGGCAGTACTTTGCTTTTGAAAAAACAGATGATTTTTAATAAACAGGAAAAAAGATCTGCTGATGTTCTCACCTCTCATCATCATAGACACCAAAAAAGATGAGAAAAGGGAGTACCTCCATGCATTTTCCAGGGAGATCTTCAGTTCTCCTCCCTGTCCACAGGCAGCTCTGACTCCCTTGTGGCTGCACTGAGTGGTGTCAAATCTGCCCTGCAAGTAAAGTGGAAGTGTGGGAATGGAGACCCAAAGGAGCAGACATGTCACACCTGTAACCAGAGCACTGTGACGCTGTAAGCCAAATGGGTCTTTTTGCTTCTGTACTCACTGGAGGTGAGAAGCAGACAAGGCTCGACAAGAGCAGAGGAGGAGGTAGAGAACATGCATAGAGAAGCTGCAAGAGTGAGCTGATCTTGGGCAAGAAAGGTGCTTTGCAAAGGAAACCCTATCTGTCTATTGAGTTTGCTGATGGAGGTTTTAGGCAAAACTATGTCTTCACATGGAGAAAGTCTGATGGCAGAGGCTGCCCCAGTTCAGTGAGGGAAAGCACAATGACTTTACGAAGGCAGAAGCTCATGCAGGAAAATAATTCAGTCTGGAAAAAAAGATTAAAAAATGCTGGTGGTGAAGATAAATAATCTTTGGAAGAACTCAGAACTTAGCAGGAGGTATTACTGGTCTCCTTCAAAGGAATCTTCAAAGCCAGGCTTTTTGGAAAGGATGGACTCCAATCAAAGCACAAAGCAGTCAGTATGAAGTTACATGTACTTTTCAGGAGGCAGCCTGGAGGGCTGCAACTCTTCTGCCAGTTTTAAAAGTTGCTTCTTCTTCCAAAAGGTTCTGCTTCCCTAGAGATGTGCCCTGTTGTCCAAGGCAGGTTACGTTTCTCCTAAGGCTGTTGGGAATGGAGAGCAGCCTAGTACCAGCTGCATGGGAATCATCCCATGGGTGTCAGCAAAATATACAGATAGGATGAAAAGGAGCTTGGATTTGCTATGTCTGCAATGTCTGGCAGAGCAGGAAGGGAGAGAGAGCATCATGTAGGACGGTCACCCCTACAAGTGCCCAGTCAGAAAGATTAAAAAAACTGATTGAAACTCAAAATTTCATGCTGGATTTAGACCAAGCAATGCATCTTTCAGGCTATCATCCTGCCAAGTCACACAGTGCTTAGATACCTGAGGGTTTCCACAAGCATTTTCCTTTCACCTGAAAAACTGGAAAACTGAAAAACTGGAAAGCTATTGCCACTGCAGTCAGTTTTTATGTCTAGCTGATCCTATTACCATGCAAACCTAATGCAGTCGCAGCAGCAGCTGAGCTGTTAGAGCACTGTAATCCCATGTGTATTACGGTGATGCCACTTGAGCTGCTAATTTGGCAAAATCTGGATCCTAATGGAGATTTAGCCTATGGACTTCCGCCACTTCACACTTGTCTGTTACAGTATAAACCATCTTGGAAATAATGGCTGCAGTCACCGGAAATTTGTAACCAGCAGTTTAACGGGATTCACCACGTGCCCCTTGCACATGAACTTATTTCTCCTCTCTCTGGCTGCCCCCATACAGCTCAATAATGCCATCAAGGACACTCTCCAAGGTTTGAGGCCAGGTAGGGTAGCAGACCTTGCATCCCCAAGCCTGGATGAGACCACCATGTACTCCAGTTAATGGAGTTATGCTGATCAAAAGCCTCTGTGTGCAAAAGGAGAAGAAAGAACTGGATCCACACATGCATGTGCTGAGCTTTTGTTTGCAAATGAAGCTGTGTGCACAGCCAGCTGCTGTGGCTCAGTGGGTGTTGGGTCCCTTGTCAAGCAGGTGCTAAATCCTGTATTGAAATGCCGTAAGCAGGTGCGGTGTGTAGGCCTCTGGACAAAATATGGGCAGTAAAATAATTTCAAAAAGTGCTCCCATGAATGTGAACTCGTGCTGAACAGGAGATACCTTCAGATGCACTGAACACTCATTTTCATCCTTTTTCACAAATATTGGTGTCGGGGAGTTGTTCCTTGGAAGGTCACATATAGCAAGTGAGATGGGCACAGATGTATACAGGGATTTGGACATTGCAAAGGTCCCTCACCATCCCTGAAGGTAGTCTTTGCTTTGAAGAACAACAACCCTTTTTGTATACTAGCCCAGAGGCATGGGTGTATATTTAGATTGAAGATGCTCCTATGCACCTGTGGAATCAGTGACACCTCTCCTGCCAACCCCCAGAAGGCAGCTGGGTCTCAAGCGGGCTGGATTGCGGAACTGCCGCGAGACTATCTGGACAGAAGGGATGAGGGGTTCAATCTCTGCTGCCCATGGATATGGGGGTGCCCCCCAAGTCTAGTCATTCAGTTGAGTCAATCAGTTGAACAGAATTAATCTCCAGGAATTCAGGTGGCAATAACCAGTGTAAATAGCAAGGACATTTTGCTCATTTAAGGCAGAATACTTGCACTGGTAACTTGCAGACTGAAATTTCCTAGTATAAAGTATTTGTGCAGCTACCAACTACAAATCAGGAAGAAACAAATAATAAATAGCTGGATGCTCACAGTTACTTTGGGAATGGAAAAAAATACATTTAAGCAAATCAATTCACTCACTTGTCCTCAAGTCTGTCTGAAAATATTCTCAGTGTCACTCAGCACTGCAATAATTATCTCCAGTTCTCATTTACAACCAAATGTTAAGAACTGAGAGATACATACTACTTCCATCCTTAATGGTTTTTTGGGGGCTTGTGTAATCAGCTGTTCCAGCATTCACAATTTTCACTTATTTATCTACTCAGGCCTCCTTTTTTTTTTTTTTTTTTTTTTTTTTTTTTTAATGCACAGGCTCTCTGCAGTCTGGCAGAACCAGGATTGCAGTATTGATTTAGGAAGAGTCAGTTGTGACAATACAGTCCCAGGCTAAGTCCTGCGCTTTACAGGGGCTGCTCTGTCTGCAGCAGCAGCATCACCCCCAGCGTGGGGCTCACATTTAAAAAGAAGAAAAAAAAATTAAAGAAAAGCTACTTTTCTCTGTTCTGCTTTGAAGGGAAAAAGGATTACCAAGGCTAAATAAGCCATCTGAGTACTTAGCTAGCAAGCCTAAATAGCACCCTGATAGGAAGTTCTGGCAGAGAGCTAATTAAATTAACTCTCTTTGATTTATTAACAAGCAGAGCAACATATCACACAGGATTGTCCCATGAAATGAATGTGCTTTCTGATTCCCTCAGCTGCAATCACCTCCTGGAAAAACCAGTTACAGGGACTCAAGTTTAATGAGACTCAATGGCTCAAGAGGGATCCCTGCCCACCAACAGAGATACGCACTGGTAATAATACGTAAAAGCATGTTTATTTTTGTTACACTTCCCTAATTCCTTTTTAATGCCTAGGACTATCTAATGGCTAATTTGTAATTTCCTGCTCACCGATATGCAGATGAATGACAAGCAAAAGCCTTCTGCATGTTTAATTATTCTGTTGATTTAGAAGTCATTTTTCCCTCAGAGCAAGTTTCTCTCTGTGTGTGCTCTCATGCATCACTTATTTCATTATTTTTAGAAGCATGCTCTGTGCCTTTTTATGCTCTCATAGTTCCAGCATCCAGTAATTACCATGTTTTGTGTCCAACAGACCTGATCAGACCCGATTTACACCACCAAGTGTAAATCAGGAAAACATCACTGACTCTAAATGTAGTTATTCCAAGTTGCACCAGACCAGAGACGTGACCTCTCCTATTTTTAGTGATGGGGGAAATGTTATTTGTGTGCTGAGACCCTTGTGAAGCAGAATATAAAATTTAGAAAACTTCAGAGTGGTGAAAATCCAAATTGAAGCCTGTGAATGCACAGATGCGAATCTATTTATGTAGCAAGCTCTACTTCTGTTTAACCGCTGCAAGGAACTGTGACTCTCTTTGCATATTTGATTTCTCTCCCTCAGTAAAACATAGTCTGCTTAACCTATTTTTGCTACTTTCTAACAGTTTCACTGGTGGGCTTCTTCCTTATGCCTTACATGTAGCTTTGGTATCCAAGTGCTCCTTTGGTAAATTAAGGCAATTAATAAATGGAGATGTTAAGCAATCAATTTTGCCTGCATATCTCCACAGCCTTACGTATGACTGGCTGTAATCACAAGATAAATGCAATGTGCTGATGTATGGTAATGTTCAATAATACATTCTCCGCCAGGCTCAATTCATCAGGGAGTTTCTGGAGGGGAGGCATTTGTTATTGGCTGTCTCCGGACCTCAAGGATAACATTTCTGTCCTTTCCATTGGCCGCCCTGCTGCTGCAAGCCTCTTCCCGTCTTATTTTGATGATGAATATGAAGGCATGCTAAGCTGTGCTGGAGAGTAGCTCTCGCCAACTGCACTCCCTCCCCGGGCTCAAGGACTCAGGGGCTCCCTGATTGTTTCCCCTGCCCACTGCCAGCAGCAGCAGCAGCAGCAGCAACGCCAAAAGTTGTGATGCTTTTCTTCACCCAGTGCTTTGGGGCTGTGTTAGATCTTATTCACCTGCGGTTTCAGCACTACAAGGCAAAGAGGGTTTTCTCAGCTACCGGGCAACTTGTCTGCGTCGTCAACCCAACACATAGCCTCAAGGTGAGTTAAAAATATATTTTTTCTTCTAACATCTCCTTGTCTTCCCCACCACCAGCACCCGTGTTTCTCCATAGGGAATGAAATTATGCTCTGGCAGTAAGAGGAGAGTGTTGTTAACACATTGCAGCCCTGGCAGAGAGGATGTTTGCATTGTCTGAATGCATGATTCCCTTTGGAGCAAAGGAGAAGCAACCCACTGCTCTGAGTGATTGTGGGAAGTCACTGCTCCTTCTCCCCAAAGTTTTCTCATCCCTTTCACCCACATAATGAGCAGGCATGTTGCAAGCATGTAGTAAAAAATTATTGGAAAAGTTACTTGGATTAATTAACATCCCTTTTTGGTGAAAGGATGCTGGGTGGTCTCCCAGGATGGCACCTAAGCACAGAGGGATGCTACCAGGCAGTGGGGAACAGGAAGAGGGGAGGTGGCAGCAGAGGCATTTCCACTGCTGTTGTTTGCTCTTTCAGGGGAAAAAGGCTGTTTCTGTCTCCTGAGGGGAGTCTGAAGGTGTTCCTCTGGCGCTGAAACTGTCCTTTAGCTGTTTGCAAGGTGAATCTATTTTAGGTGGAAGAATACATTTGCTTTAATGCAAAACTATTTATAGTCCCCATAAAACATTTCTCTTACTCAGACAGCTCTGGATTTCCACTGACAAAGTGTCAACAGCTCCATCTATACCAGAGCCTTCATGTTTGTAGTAGAGAAGGAGCAGCAGGGGGAGAAAGCAATCAGGAAGCTTTAATTACTTTATTGCAGTAGTGAATGACCAACTTTAATGAAGTGGTTTCTGTTTTGTAGGCAGTCCTTGTGGTCCTGACCTATGAGGTAGCTCTGCTATTCTGACACAAGCTCAGAAATTAATTAAATTCAGGACAACTTATTTTTGTCTCTGCTACGGTCCCTGTGAGGTACTTGGAGGGGTTGCAGGGAGCATCCTTCCTGAGCTACAGGTCCATGGGAGGTCTATGGATGGGGTAAATCCCTTTTCAGAGCAGCATCACTCCCCCAAAAAAGGCATGTTTCCCACAGTTATATTTCCAGTTTCAGGCTGAGCTCAGGCAGGAAGAGGTCATTTCTAGCAGGGTGCCAGCTCCAGGAGGATTTCCCCGCGAGGCTGTGCTCTAAGCGCTGCCGGCTGGGGCAGGCACTCACAGGGGATGAACGGCTTGGGTGCAGGCACTCCTCTCCCAGCACTGCACTCCTCCATCAACACAAGCTGAGTTAAAACTGCACAGCCCTCTCATTATCTGAAAGAATCTGATTGTCTGAATGGATAAAAGAAATAACTGCATTCCTAAGTGCATGGGGTGATTTTGTAAGTGCATGCTTCTGTGCTCAACTCCTTTTATGTGGCTGTCTCCTGCTACTTTTATCTATAATTTTAATTAGTAAAAAAAAATTTTGAGCAGAAAAAAAGGTTATTGAAGGTCACAACACAGTTTTAGTGCCAGTGGAACTGTCTGATGAGATCCCATAAGCACACTGAGGGGTGACTACTGCTCCACTGGTATCTAAGACTAGACCTGAGTTTATCATTTCAGGTCCTCCTGAGTTGCAGATTTCATATTGTAGGAGCTGCAGCATTTTATCTTTGAGCATACCAAAAAAAGTTGGTGACTGTTACTCTGTGTTAACCTCATAGGGCATTTCAGTTTACTAAAATCCCCCATGGCCAAGCTCTTCACTGCTCAGACCCAGAGCCTGGTAGAGAGATGGATAATCCTGATACTGCCTTGGATTTGAATAATTTGAATGCAGACATTGGACACAAAACTCTCCTGGAAACAAACGAGACCCTCTAGGAAAAGGTCTGATGTGTTAGCGAAGCCCCAATAAGAATTATCTTGACCTGGGTGGGAATTGCTCTCCTGATAAAGTTACATTAGGAACCCTGCAGCAAGTGTTTCTTCACCGAAACACATCTATATGGTGTCTCTGTTGAGATACCATATAGATAGACAAACTGACAAGAAAGCTCTCTGCTCTGGAAAACCTGTCCGTCTGTAAAGTGAAACATGCTTTGAAAGTAATCCCAAGTTACCCAGCTCACATCAAGCCACGTAAATACAGTGGGCTTTAGCTCTGATCTACTCGCCAGGTGTTCAGTTTGGTTTCCCACCAGCTCTGTAAGGAATGAACCATCACTTTGTAGCAGGACCCAGAGGAGATGGGTGGATTGGACCCCTTTGTGCCCAGCGCAACAGTATCAGTTCCCACCCAAAGCAGCCTGTGGGCCAGTATCAGCTGGCTCCGAGTAAGCAAGGCACCTTGTCCAAAACCTGGTGTCAGACACAAGCCAGATGAACCGGCTACTTGGGGTGCCCACTTCTCCCCCAGGGATACACAGGAGGGCTGTGGTTGCTCTCAAATGATGCCTGAGGGACCATTAAACATGAAAGAGCCAAATGTATTCCTCTGTGCTGGTTTACAGTATTATGGCTGTATGTTTCATAGTCTATTATTTCTACCTGGGTCATTTCAACTGTAACATTTTGTTGACAGCCCCCAAATCTATCTTAACAATTGACAAGTGGAGTGAAAACTGTATTAAGGTTTGCGGTCGATGAATACAAGCCTGCTAGGAAACAAGGGCTAGAAGCAATGTCATTTCTCTCCCTTCTCTTCAAGGCTTAAATGTTTGTGCTAACTCCAAAACTATAAGCTCTTTGCAAAGGGGTTATTTTATTCTGTATCTCTACAACACTGGTGCAAGGGGGCTTCTGTTTGATTGGTGCAAATGATAAATGACAGGCATCATACTCTGCTGTGATTATGCTCATTGACATCCTTCATGCAGGTCAGGTCTTCAATCAGTGCCAATGCACATAACTCCATTAAAGTCAAATTGCAGCAGGACCTCCATTCTTGCTCCTTCCACTTCCAAGGGAGTGTTCAGGGATGATAGTGGGATCCAGCCCACTCTGGAGGATCCATGGTTGGTGGTCACATATGTGTGTTAGAGACTTGGCATCACGTAAAGCACTCGGTGAGCAGCAGAGGGCAGGGTACTCTCCAGGGAAAGGTTGCACTAGCTTCTGCTGTCACACACCCACAGCTGGACCAAGGGGACTCTTGTAAAGTTATGCCAGCAAGCTGTCATCATAATCACAGCCTGGACCTCTGACCATGACCAGAGCCCATCACTTACCTCTTCCTTTAGGAGAGGTCCAGAGGTTGGTAGAGAAGCACACATTTAGAAAGAAACCCATGTATTTCTTCCCACTGAAAGGCTCATTAATTGGAAAGGCTGATGAGCGTTTCAATGTTTCTTAAAGGGCAAGATGGTAGAAGTGTCAGCACAGACACCTCTATTGATCTGCTGCTGTTTTCCCTGTGCACAACAGCCTGACACAGGCTAAGAAAATTCCTGACACAGGAAAGACAATTTTGCAAATGTCCCCCACTGTTTCGATGATTTGTCAGGAGTATGAATGGGGGGGGAGGTATTCCAGAGCCTCTTTGTCCTTGCTGCTTTCTGCTCTTTGTCCTCCCATGAGGTTTCCCAGACATAGCAGCAGCATCTTACAGCACAATACTATACTGGGATCAAAATTCACTTGCCAAGCAGAGAAAAACACTTATTTTCCACACTTCCATAGGTCACCTTTGTCCTCAGTCATATTATACGCATTACCTTGTAACCTGTCTCCGCTCAAGCATGTGGTCAACCTGACATCTCCCCTTGGAGAGACACAGTCAGGCAACAGAGCTCCTCAGCCAAGTGGCTGCTCCCTCCAAGGCCATATTAATTGAAGGAACACTGTTTATGCCACTGGCTGCAGGTCCCAGTGTACAGGGAAAGTTTTAAGGTGCTCCATGTGTATGGAAAAAATGAGCAGGGTTTGCTGATCCTGCAGAGATAAGGCTCAATGAATTCCTGCACACTTCCCCCTTTGTTAAGAGCAATTCTCCCCAGCACTGCTAATTGCACCCTGGGAAGAAGCTGAAGGTGTGGGAGGTTGTCCTCACTCTTTAGCTGGCAACAGTCTCTGTCCCCAAAACCAGCCGCACACAGCAGGGGACTGCAGTGCAATCACAGCTCAGCCAGGTGCCGATGCTTGGCAAGATGCTGCATACGGCTGGGTAAAACAGATCTTAGTTCAAGGAGTTACTGGCTTTTTACACACAACTTTAACTCTTTGGGAGTGTGAAAAATGTTCTTATAAAGAGTAAAAATGTGTGTTTACAATGCTCTTGTAAAAAACACTGATCTCCACCTCTGTAGAACTTCAAAGAACTTGCTGAATTACAAAAGAAGCGTATTCAAATGAGGGCATAAATAGTTCAATCTTATATTTGAAAAGGATCGTAACATGGTTTATGGGGCCAAGATGTCATTTAGCAATTTTTTAAATCAAAAAGCAAATCTGCTCTGACTTAGGGAAGGGATTTGAATCATGTTACAACAGTTTGGCTCTGCACGCAGTGGCCAGCTAAATAGCATTGTAATCCACTTTATCCCCAGCAGGATTAAAGTGCTATGATGCATTACACCCCCATGAGATTTATTTGTTTGGAGGGAGGAGAGTGACTTCAAAACCTGTTGCTAACAACCCCTAGATGTCCTCTGCCACCATCTCAGCCCAAACACCCTCAAATCTCCCCTCTAGGGCTATGATTTGGGGACTAAGTGTCATTTGGCTCCAGTGTCCAGCAGGGTTGTGACAGCTGTGTCGAGAGGACTGCAATACCCACTGCTGCCTGCAAACCTGGGTTCCTGGCAAGGTGCCTATGTCCCATCCTGGCTGTAGGACAGGGCTGTGTAAGCACTGGGTACCTCAGACTTTTAAATCCTTTTGTAGGGATGTGAATAGCAGCAGGCAGTGCTTTGACAGCCCTCCGTCAGCCCTGCCTCTGTTTGAAGGCCTTTCAGCAGGCAAAACTGGAACTTGAGTTGACCATGAGCACTGTAGAAGCCTCTCTCTGTCCCACAGATGTGAGCATAATGGTGCTCTGCAGAGGTGAGGCATAGCATGCTCTGGCAGTTCTCCTCAGGGAC